AAAAAAAACAAATGAAAACTACAGACAAAAGTTCATTTTCTCCATCAAGACATTCATTTCTGTAGTTTACTGCTACCAGCAAGCAGAAATATTTCTTCTCCTGATAATGGCCATTTGGGCCAAAACTAGTCGAGGAATCTAAGTGAAATATTATTAATCTACAACTCAGTGTGTCTGAAGATTTTAATTTTTTAATATTTTTTATTGTTCAAAATATGATATATATATATATATATATATATATATATATATATATATATATATATATATATATGATAAATATATCTCTATCTATAAAAGGCAGGATGTGTGTGTGTGTGTGTGTGTGTGTAACAAATGCATATACAATTTTGATGGATTTGCACCAAAATTTACATGCACATGCTCAAAGTTAGCGGGAAGGGCAAGACCGACTTTGCATTTCCCAACTCCCATCGATAGTGGAAATAATCAATTTTTTCATGCTTCTACGGCAATTTTCATGTAGTTTGTGGCCATTTTCTACTGGCCAGAGTGAGAGCCTCTAGCTGGCTGCCACGAATAGGCAGGAAGATTCTATTGGCCAATGTGAGAGCCAACAGCTGACTGACACGAATGTTAACTAGCATGCAAAAAAAAATCAATAGCTGCATTCATTACAAGTGGGAAAAATTTAAATCTGCATGGCACTTTACTCCAATTGGCTCATTCACTTGCTTAAACTCAACGTTAATTCTGATTCCGCAGAACTGGGTTGGGTGGGAAAAAGTGTTTGTTGTTAACATTCTTTTTTCATAACAGATTTAATGTTTAGTATAGAGCTTAGAAAAAAATTTGCAGTGTGAGATAGGCAAGAAGTAGGCATGTAGCAACATCAGCATGGCAAAAGGCACTCCTTTAAAGGCAAGGAAGGACAAAAATATTTTAAGTCAAGTGATAGCGATTGCTGTATGAGTCATATGATTTTTGAATCAAGCACGGGCAACACTGCTAGTATATATATATATGATAAATATATATATATATATATATATATATATGATATATATCAAATAAAATGAATACAGCAATAGCAATAGTAGTAGTCATGGCGATATTACCAGCAGCACTTGTGCCTGCACACACACACACAGTAGCACCCATTGCCTGAATTCACACTAACCACTTTCTCTCAGGTTCCAATAGTTTTTATATAAATAGACAATATGAATGACATTTTCTTTTGGTCCTGTCTGTGCCAATAATATTCATTGTTTAGAAAATAATACAGTGTAAAATGTTTATGTTTATTAATATTAGTCATATTAGTGGAGGTCATAAATATGGCTGTAATAATTACTATAATTTTTAAGGAATTAATGGATTTAATTTAAAAAAAATATTTTTAATACAACATTATTTCTGGAGATCTGAATGAAAAAATGTGCATTCCTTAAAAGTCGGTACCTCCAAAATTTTCTAAAAAAGATAATGATAAAAAAAGGTCCCAAACTTGATATAAATAAAATTTTATTGTTAAAATGTTTCTTATTAAAAGGAAAAACCAATGTATTTTTTATTACTTTATTAATTTTTTTAAATCCTTTATAGAATGTTTGAAATTTTGGTTAAAAATCTTGTTTTTCTTGTGTTAGTGGTTGAACCAAAGATTAGTGATATTAAGCTTCTTTTTTGATGTTAAAAACACATTGTTTTTGGAAATTCTTGCAAAAATTAAATAATTGTTGGATTTTGATTAAATTTTCAGGACTTATTCACAAATGAATGAGTTTTTGTTTTTTTAAGAAAATCTTGGTAATTTTTTTTTTATGTTATCCCCACTTAATTTTATAAAATTTCAAGTAATTAAAATTTCAGCCTCTTCATATTTATATTACTTAAAAGCGGGACTCCTTAGAGAATTTAAATCAACAATTTTATCAAACAGAAACAACTTTTACCAAAAATCTGCTCTGACTCATAAAATAAAATATGCAATAAACTTATATTATAAAACTATGACATTATTTAGAAAAGCTTTTAATTGCTTTTATAAGGTATATTAAAATTTATTATAAATGTGTTGATTTTTGTAAGTACAGGCAACCATACACGACATTATCAGAAAATAAGCATGATAACTATAGTAAATTTAAAGTCAACATTTCTAAAATTCAATAAAACATTAGAGAAAATATTTTCCTAATTTTTTAAGATAACAGAGTACTTAAAAATTATATAAAAAAGGCACTCATGTCATAAATTTTTCTGCGAGTTGGTGTTTGTATAATTTAAAACGTGTCATTTTCTTTCAGATAGGACAGAAAATTAATTTACACTTAGTTTTTTAAAAAATTATTTGTAATTTTTCAGTACAATTTTGAAATTAATCCTGTTGCTGTTAGATTTTTTTAAAATAAAGACACGTTTGAAGAATAAAAAAAAGTTTAATGACATTTTCATTTGTGAAATTTTTTTAATAAGATTTTTAATTTTTTTCATTTGACCAACTATTAGAAAATTTGTATAATGGATGTTCAAAAAGGAAATAATTCTAAATTACTGCCTCTTCTCTATCAGATGAGTAATGCGATATATGATAATTCAATAAATCTTAAATTCAGAATAATTGGCTGCTGATATTTTAGGACATCAAACAGTTAAGAAAATAACAAAAGCAATGTATTTAAAATTTAAACTAATTTAAAAAAAACTACTTAATGTAGTATAAAAAAATAAAAAGATTCATTTTTTTTTTTTTTTTTAATTAAGTTTTATAAAATCCTATAGGATAAATAATTATATTCTTAAGCTATTGGTTAAGGTTAAAGAAAAATTATTTCAAACATAAATACCAATTTCTTGATTATTGCACTGTTGGTGTTCCGTATTTATTTTAAATTTTTTGCGCGCATTTTAAAAATGGAATTAAAAGAGCTATTTTGCAATTTATAATTGTTGACTTTTTTGATCTTATGGTTTAATTTTATCGGTTTGAAAATTCTTACAATACTAATAAAAATGATGCATTCACAAAAATGCTAAATGTGAGAAAATGTGATTACTGGTTACATTTTTCACGAAATTTAACATTAAAAAACTTATTTGAACATTTCAATTTGTGCAGCCAGTATTGCTTTTTTATTTTTAATATTTAAAAAGGAAGTTGCTTTTGTTTTTTTTCCTATTTTTGTTAACTTAAATTAGCAAGTTAAAAATTAATTCGGACATAAAATCCTAATTTACGAATTTACTTCCTCAAAACAAGGAAAAACAGTACTATATGATTCGAAAGAAAACAAATTTAAAGGATACAGTGAAACACGGATATAAGAGAGATTTTCTCTGGTCCCAAATTAGAGCCTGTATATAAATTAGTTCAAACCCGGATATAAGAGAAACCCGGATATAAGAGACTTCGTCTTCGGTCCCGACAACTCGCTTATATCCGGGTTACACACTGTAGTAAGAAAGGACGAAGGATATGGAAATGGTCTATCTATATGGTAACTACTTCGCGTAGCTTAAGGTTAGTGTGCTAGAATGAGCATATCAGAGACCACCGGTAGTCTCAACATAACTCCCATGAACAGTAAGGAGTTCGGTCCTCACTTGGTACTCCCACGTATGTCCAGTCTAACACTAAATAATTACCTAACGGGAATGCACACTAGCAAATTAAAAACAGTACTGATTGGAGTATTGAGGAAAATTACGATACGTACAAATTTGTTTCAATTAGCAATTTGGAATAAATTATTTTTTTACCCGATCAAAATGAGTATTTTGATTTTTATTTTATCATATTGGCATTGACTCTTTTTTTTAGTTTTTTTTTACATTTTTGACAACGTTTTAAAAGTGAAACTAAAAGTTTTCCTTTTTTTTTTTAACACTCATTGGGAAAAAGTTGTTTGTACGAATGAAAAATGTATCTTAGGAAGCTAATTCTGGGGTGAACATTTTTATATTGACAATTTTTAGTATTTTTTTTTTTTTTTTTTTACTAATCCACTCGAATACTTGGACAAATATGTTGTTTTTTTTTTTTTTAATTGAACTATTTTTTTGTATTTTTAACAATTTGAAAAAAAGTCTGTAGCGAGATTGATGAAACATTTTTTACACCACTGCTAATAAATTAAAGCCCTTTTTCAAAATTATTTAAGACGATGAACATTGGCCCGGAAACAAAATTCTTCATGATTACCTACAGAAGAAGAAGAAGAACCATAATTTTTATGAAAAGGTTAAGGTCACCCAGTCGAGGTCGTTTACTACTTCTTTTTCTTCGGATGAAAACTGAAATAATTTTTAAAAAGAAAAAAAAAAAAAACCGAAATAATTTTTTATTAACAATGTCAACTGACTAATCATTTCAGATTAAAATAGCGAAGAATTAAAGAATATTTCCTTTCTTTACGCAAGAAAGAAAGCAAAATCACGATCCTTAAAAGTCATTTTTGTGTTTAGTTTGTGGGATAAACTAAGAAAATAAAAACATTTCTTTTCAAACTTAAATTACAATAAAATTTGCGGTGATGTATATTTTTAAAGTAGTCGGAAAAAAAAAAAAAAAAAAATCCCCTCAACGATTAAAAAAAAAATTAAATTTAGTAGTGAAGGACATAAAATGAAACTTACATTCGAAGAGAAATTTTGAGAACTGACAGCGATATTTTTCAAGGTACTGTTGCCTAAAGAACGAAATATTGAAGGTACCCGATTCATGTTGCTGCTATTATTTTCAGTAAAGAAAATATAATGCGAATTTTAGCACGTTATATAATCGAGAAACATGTGTTTCTGGCCGCTTACGCTTTGGACCACAAAAGTTAATAATTTTCTCGTAAAGAAAGAATCAATAATAATTCTCAAAAATATAAAATTTTGCAATTTCTAGCAAGAAATCATAAAGTTAAACCATAACCGAAATATTCCGTACTGAAAATTAAGCATGAAAATTGAAAATACTGTTGTGTGTAGTAGTGTACAAGTTATTTCAGTGCTTCATGTGAGTTTTTACTGTTTTTTTGCTTTTTTAAACTAAGATACGTTTACATTGGTATTTCAGTGCTTCATGCGAGTTTATACTGATTTAAGATACGTTTGCATTGGTAAAGACTATATTGCTATTGTTGCCTAAATGATTATGGTCCATTATTATTTCCACTATTATGAAGTTTTTATTTTTATTTATTTCGACATTTCTTACACCCGGCTTATTTTTCCCCATAAGGGAACTATTTTCTCTCTACACCGTTTCCCATAATGCTGAAAACTTCCTGTTTATAGGATAACTTATCAAATAATAGCAAAAATTGAAATCAAATCTTCGAGATATATTTCAATAATGCAAAAAACAACAAAACGCGTTCCTTTTTTTTAATCGTAAGTATTTATTTATAATAGATATTAAATGCTCGTTTATTAGTCCAAATGTTTTGTTTGAAATCAATTGCTTAGCCTCATCGAACCGGTTCTGTTTGTAGTGTTGTTTTGGTTGGTACTGATGCCAAGTGTGTGGTTATTTTGTTTCGTTTCTTTTTATTTATCAGAACAGGAATCGATGATAATAAATAAATTAATTAATTAAATAAATAAACATATACGTTATGTTTCACTTTTGTGCAAATTTGACTTTTCTTTTTTTTAATTTATAAAATCCCATGATTAATGAACAGATCTCTAACAGTTTCTTAAGATTGTTTCATAAAAATACAGCTCTATGGAATCTACAAAACGGCCACGATGATAAAAGTATAATTATGTTACACTTACTTTCTAAGTTTTAAGCTAATAAAGGCAGTAAACATTGTTGTTGTTTTTTGTTTGTTTTTTACCTTTACGTCATTAGCTTATTTTCTGCTGTTATTAAAGAATAAATGAAAAACGAAATTCAATGTGTGTTTCATGAAGAAATATTACTTAATGATTTTAATAATTTAATTAACTTGATTAAAATGAATACAGTGACTGTATATTGTTTGTTTTATTAATATTTTCTGCTAGGTAAACGTAAATGATAACCATTTGCCTCATTATTACAAAAAAAAGAAGACATTTCAAAATTGGCATTTTTATTTTATTTAGACTTTAGTTTTGAGTTGACGTCGTAGAAACGAATGTGCGAATTTGTTGATTTAAAAATACAGAGACGTTTAAGTTGATACAGTATTATTAATTTGTCAATAATAACAACATGTTCACAAACAATTATTAGCTTCAGTCAAAAAGAAATCAATTCTGGCATTAAATTCAGTTTGGGTCATTTGCAATCGGTTCTTACATTAATCGTCAATATTAAAATTTTAAAAAGAGAATAAAGAAAACATATGGAAGAGAAGAGTTCGGTAGAATTTTGTAAACATCAAATATTTTTAGATTCAGTTCTTCGTAGCCGTAAAAAAAATTGCTCCAAGCACATTTGGAAGCCCGTGTTCATTTTTTTCTGAGATATAGAATGTTGAGAAAAGTGGTAAACCTTCTGCATATAAACTGATTTAACCATTTTTCATTTTTTTTTCGTAAAATCTGTTATTAATTATACATTTTAACCCGTTAATGCACGTCGTCCTATTTTTTGAACGGTTGGCATTAAATGCGTTAAAAAAACTACCTGAACACAAATTGCATTACTGTTGTAAAAAGTGTTCCTTTATGTGATGGCGACAACTGCTTTATGTAACAATAACATCTAACCACACAATTATTTTTTTTTACTATGCAAGATAATTCACAATAGACTCAAGCAAATGAAACAGCATAACTTGGCAACCAACTGTTTTTCTTCTTATGCTTTATTTTTCACTGTTAGTGTTTAGTTAAATAATGTCAGTTGTCAATGTAAAAAAATTATTTAAAAATGGAAAAAAAGTTTCATATTTGGTAGTAAGATTAAATATCAATGATTTTGTTAAATGGAATATATATTCGGCAAAAATTAATTTAATTTAAACAAGTTTTTTTTTTATTCAAATGATAAGATGACGTGTGAAAGAGTGCAAATGCATTATTTAAAAATATGTGGTAAAATACTTTTCATACTCAAGTGTTATGGTCATATTTTAAAAGTACCTTGCAAAACCAGAAATTATTAATGATACCGTACTTCATTTTTTCATATAGCTTGTGTATAAAAATGTGACCCCAGTTTCTGAGCAATACTAGTAGTAGACCTACAATAGTTTTTTTAGTTTGATTTAAATATTGCAGTACTAAGTTTATAACAAATAAAGTGGTTTCATTCTTTTTTGTACAAAGCTACCCTAAAATAGTGAGAAAAATCACTTACCGTAAAATTTCTGATACAAAGATTTAGATGCCATATTTTTGTTTACATTTTTATACCTGATTATGGTAGCTCCGTTACCCTGGGCCTGGCTCCTGAGTCCTATATAACCTAAGTTTCTTCCCTTTTGTCGCTACATGAAGAACAAAACCTCATCCACTATGTATGCTACTTAAAAGCAATAAATACCCTCCTATATAAATGAAGAATTAATCCTTTTTATCAGGATTAGCAGGATGCCCCACAGATTGAGGTACATACTGCGGGTTATGATAATTTAAGTAAAAAAAAGTACTCTATGCACATATGTTTTTTTTTTTTTTTTTTTTTTTTTTACTTTATTTTGTTAGAATTTTTACCTATGCAACCAATTACCAAAAATGCATGATTTTTAACCACTTCAAAAAATTACCTGTACAATCCTAATTTTTTTACATAAACTGATCATAAAAACTCGCACTATACTCGAGTATGTATGATATTTTTTGTGGATAAATACTGTATCAGAAAAAAAAAATTACTGGCATCGGGCTTGGCAATCATTTTACTGTGGACAATAAGTTAACTTTTGGATAGTAGGTTGCCCATGTACTTACTCACTTGTTCTCTATTATTGTGACATGCCAGTAAAAAGGCATTTAAAGTGAGATTGGTTTGTCCACTCAAAATCTCCAGACTGCCAACCATCTTCTAAGAATATGATTTCTTAAACAGGATATTTATTTGTGTCTCTCGGACGGAATACTAATAAATAAAAAAATCCATCATTTATTTAGAAATTGTTTTGTTTATGTTAGGATACAGAACTGGACAGATATGTATATTGAATTGGGGTAAGATTTGTGTTTAATGACACTATTCAGCTTTGCTTGATCATTGACACACTTTGTGGCTGAGAAGTGTAAAATTTCCCCTGCTCAGTGGGATGCAGGTTCAAATCCTGTTGGAGATCACATATTTTTAATAAGATTTCTTGGATATTCAGGCTGGTAAATGAAAATAAAGAATTTGATTTTATATAGAAGAACAATTTTGATTGATTTCTGTCGTATAATGTAGCACAATGGACTTTTCACAGAAATATGATGGGATTCCTGTATGAACTCTAGATAAAAATGATCAACTATTGAGTAATAATGAATCATTGAATGATTGCTTATTACTGTGGTATGTAAATTTCATGTGAAATTAGTTTGCCTCTTCAAATGATTTAAACACAACTTTCTAAAATCATCACAGCAAAAAGTAAGATATTATTATACAGTTCAAGATGAAATGCTAAGAAATAAAAGTTTAAAATTTCTAATTTGGAGATGATTGGTGTCTACAATCCAGTGTTTCAAATAAATCATTGAAAGTGGAAGTGTTTGGATCATATTGTTGTTTCAATTAATCCCATTAGCAAAATATACAACTAGATTCAAAGATATATAACTACTTGACAGTGCTAAAGATCTGTGCATTGGCTTGATTAAAAAAAATATTTTTCTTACCATTCATCAAAGTCATTTTTAACTATCAGATTAACGAGGCATGGTGGAGTAATGGATAGCAGCTCAAATTGGGGTATCAGAGAAACAGAGTTTGCTGCATTCACTTATGTGCAAACACCCTTGGGAAAGGGTATGAATCCCTCTTCTTCCCTTAGCTATGTACAAATAGCAAGACAGAGTCCTATAGCCTCAAGTAGCAACTGGCCTGGGAAAAGGACGAACTCTGTAATTCAAAACCTCCAACTTTAGGTAGAGCAGACTGGTCTCTTTAGCCTTGGTTGGTAACCAGTCTAGGAGAAGGACAACTCTGTGTTCAAAACTGTATGCAGATCTGCTGAAGCACAGACTATGCAGCTAAGGAAAGGATCATGGAGTTTGTAATGACTCTGTGATCCTGAATGCAGTCAACCTTGATTGATTAATATTTTCTCTTTCGTAAATTTTTGTGAGTGAATCTTGGCTCTCTGATGTAAAAGCATTGAAATATAAAATTCATGCCTTCTCATGTTATCAACATTTGACTAATATAGAATTTATGATTTTTTTATGTATCCTTATGTAGATGGGCAGGTAGCGTAGTGGTTAGCAGCCTGGAATGAAAAATTGGTTAGTTGAGTTTAAATTCCAACTGAGTTCATTACATTCACTTTCGCACAAATTCTCTTGGGAGCTGTATAGATTCATCTCATCTCCCTCCAGCTATGGGTTAATAGCAAAGCAGACTGGGTTCTCTAGTAATGGTCTAGGAAAAGGAAAAAAAAAAACTGAATTCAAAACTATAGCCCTGGCAAAGTATATGCTATACAGCCATGGAAAAATGATGGCATTCACAATTAATTAGTGTGTGGACTCTATAATCTTGACTACAGTCAATGAGGTAAGTAGCATTATTATTCATCTTATTAATATTTTAACAAGTGCAGGTGAAGTAAACTTAATCCAGATAGTTTCAGGGTGAAAATTATAAGAAAGTTTAAATTATTAAAATTAAAATTACTGCTTTATGAATGTGTCAAGTCTTAGAGGTATTGATTTTCTTTGATAAATTATTATAGTACAGTTTTATCATATAGCAATAGAATAAATATTCTAGGTTATTAAGGTTCAATATCATTAATCTGGAGTGTAACTATTCTAAACAATTCAAGCTGTTGTACTATCAACCTTAATCTGAATAGGGTACAAAAATATATATTTTTTAAAATTTATACTTTCAGATTATAAAATGAATGTACATAACATGTTGTGAACTCCTAGTCTTGCCTACCATTAATCAACTTACACAACAACTATGGGTACAAAAGTGATTGATCAGATCCTCACTAAAATGCTTCATGGCTCCGCAGAAGAAAAACACTACATCTACAATGAGTCAGACATCATTCTTGAGTGTAAACTCTGCAGGAATTTATTCAGGGCTCTCACTGGTTTCATTTTACACCGTAAAAGTTTATGTCTGAAACCAATTGAGAAATCAGTCAGTGTTAGTGCTTATGACCAATCAATGCGGTCTGAAACTTTCAAAAATGTAACTTTCATCACCAGTGTTTCATCGCAAGATCCAGCACAACAGCAACAACGGCAGCAGCAACAACAACAACAGCAACAACAAAAAGATTTAACAAGTGAATTTGTGGATGCAAATGACTTGTCCACTGCTGACCATTTCCAATATTTAGAGAATTATGTAAGCCAGATCAACGAGACTATGGAGAGTAAGAGTAATTTAAAGGCTGTGTTGAATTTGACGCAAGAAGGAATTGCTGATTCAAATGACGTGGCGCAAGACAACATGGCCGATGACCGGTCCAAACTGCTTGAGGATTATGTTGTGCAAATTGCTTCTCCTGTAGAAGCTTTGGAAAATACAGATGCCACAAGGAAAAACAGAATTGTTTTGACTGACATTAACAGTCCTCAGGTTTGTACTTTTCTTGATATTTTTATACACCCACTTTGTTTTTGCCATTTGCAATTATTTTTTTTGTTATGGCTTAATGGTACAATCAAGGATTGTGGATCAATGGTAGATACAGTTTTGGTGGTATCTCCATAACTTCATAAGAGTCATGTGAATCAAATGTTTGCTTGGTTCATTAACTAAACAAATCTTTTCTTTGATTTAGATTAAGATCTACAAGTCATTATTCAGATATTGCATATAAAAGTATGTGGCTCTTGTAGGAATTAAGGGGAAGAATTAAGATTTAAAGTTGCATTTAAAATACCCCATTCCTAAAGGAAAGAAAGATTCTCTCCAATTATAAAATAAATTATTAGTGCAGTTGTTATGGCAGCACTTGTAAAAACTTGTAGACAATATGTTTGTATAGATCAGCGTTTCTCAGCCAGCACCCACTTTAGGCACAAGCATTTTGTCCACGCCCCTCTCCCGTCAAATTAAATTTTGAATATTATACTGAATTCATCTTTCATAGAAAGATAAAACTTAAGTATTAGTGCAAAAATAATTTTAATATTGTTTTCATTTCTATTAGAAATGCCAATGATTAAAATCCTAAAAAAAATCTTTTACTTGATAGCTTATCTCAATGTTTTCAATGCAATGGTTGACTTTGGTGCTTACTGGCTAAGGTTCTTACTCTAGGTTCCATGCTTCTTGGAATTAATCATAAATCACCTTGTTTTGTAATTTGCAGTTGGTTTCTTTGTTTAATAAGAAGTTCTGTAACTGTGTTGAAACCACATTCAGCCATATAGGAAGTTGAAAAAGCAATGAAGAAAAGTTTGGTAGCTTTCCACAGTACTTTCAGAAATTTCTTTTTGTAGCCAGTATTGAATAATTTTTGAAAATCTGATAAAAATGGATACATCCCCCCCCCAATGAAATAAAAAAAAAACTCCCAGCGCCCCCTTTCAACATAACAGAGCCCACAAAGGGGCACTATCGCCCACTTTGGGAAACACTGACACAGATCCATGCATAAAAAAAAGTTTAAGGCATTTATGCTTGACAATGGAATAAAGTTATTCCATTGAATAAAGATAGAAGCTGAAAATATGGATGTTTTATTTGCATCTTGAAAGCATGGGTGGGGAGTGATTCTGTTCTTTTGAGGTTTAAATGGAATAGGAAAAATAAAGAATATACAAATCAGAGAATAAAATGACAGACTGATACTTTTACATGTGAGGAACTGAGAAGCAATCATATGTAATCTTTATCTTAATTATCCAATTTCTGTACATATGTTAGCACAATGCTCTAACTTGAAGAGAAAAGCAATTTCTAGTCCTTTAGCTCCTAAGAATTTTTTAATTAAATATAAATTGACCAAAAACAAGAAAATGTCTGCCCAATGAAGATAACTCAAGCTCTGTTAACTGCTAATTACAGAGTTGTTGCCCATCTTAATAAGAAACTTTAAGTTGGTAATAATTAAACTTTGTGGTAATTAGCATTTGCAAATAATTCTAATATAAATTCTAGGATTAATACAAATGAAATTTGCCACTTAGCTGATTAATGCTATATTAAGCACCTTGACTCCAGAATTTTGTAGACAAATATTTTGTAATTGTTTGGTCCACTCATCAGGTTTCAGCAATTGACTGCAGATTTTCTTATTTTTGTTATTTTTACACAAAGTTAAAAAAATAATTTATGTGCTATTTATTGGTGTTAGGTTGATATATTTTTTCTCTTTGTGTCTGTGTGTGTGTGTGTGTTTTTCATTTATGTGCATAGTGTCAAATGTTACAATTATTTCTCCTTTTCATCATTTTCTTATCTCTTTATACACTCTCTCTCTATTTTCCTTCTTCTGTCTCTCTTTGGCTTTTTGGTAAATAGTAGCTTGTGATCAAGTAAGTTGCTGAAGGTGGCATTTAAGTGGATCCAAATAGAGTAATGACTTAATTAAAAGAAATAAAAATAAAAGTTGGAGAGCATGCAAAATCAGCTGATTTGAGTTACAGAATTTGGGACAATTGTTAAACTTTTTTTATGCTTTCCATCATCTAGTGTAGCTATAGACTAACACTGTTGCCAAGCAACTTTAAATATATTTTGTTTTTATTAAGATGAACTCTTCTAATGAACCTAAATGGCATAAATAATCAAAGAGAAGGAAGAAATTATCAGAAATGTACCATCAAGAAGATATTACTCCAAACCAACATTAATCCAAAAATTTCTGGTGCATCTAATAGATTGAAGTTCACTACTTATGTCTTGCAAGACTAACATATTGAGCCTCATTTTTACAGCAGGTAAATAATAAAATTGATATAATGGAATATGTGTACACATGTGTTCCCCCTCACTGGAATATGATTGGCTAGTGTCCGTCATAAATACCAATGGACATGTAGGTACAACAGAGTCAAGAGCCTTAGTCTGAGATCTAAGTTTATAACGACGCCCATTGGACTACGTCATTGATCTACACTTCTTACCTGTGACTACGACGCGTACCAGTCGATTACTGCTACTGTATTATACTTGGTTATAGTAGCCAAAACCACTTAGCTACTTCGTTCAAATATATCCCTTTCTGGAACATATCAGTTGGCGACGAGATTTGTAACAACCTTACAAGTTAAAACAAAAGAAAAAAAAATACAGTCGACAACATGTACTAATGAAGAACGTTAGAAAAACTTGTTCGACGCTTACAAAAAGTAAGTAATTTTTCACTCATGTTTGTTTTAACACTTATTGACGACGAACGTTAGAAAAACTTGGGAAATGCTTGCCCCCCTCTTGTTTGGAATAAGAATTTTATTGTTTATTGGAGCAGAATTGTTTTCTGGTGAATATGTTGGCAAAATGGAACAAATGGCGGAATTAGCTAAGGTGCTACAAGACACTTTACAGCAACAGTTCCAACAACAACAACAGCAATTCCAGCAACTACAAAAACAACAATTACAGCAACGAGAAAGGTTTGGAAAGTTATTCAAACACGTATTATCTAGGACAACAAATGAACCTGGCTCTAGATTTGAAACAATATTTACGAAAAGGTGCAAACAATGGTCCGACGAGGAAAAAATTACTTTATTGTTGCAGAAGTTGGGAACAGAAGAAAATACGAAATACATAAATTTAATCCTCCCAAAGAATCCAGAAGAAATGACATTCGGCAGAACAGTGGAAATTTTGTTGAAAATTTTTCGATAAAAGAGATAGCCTGTTTCATACTCGATACAAGTGTCTGAATATCGTTAAACAAGATGATGATGATGATTTTGTTACATACACAAGTATGGTTAATGCACAGTATGAGGTGTTGAAAGAGTTGTCAAGCGACATGTTCAAGTGTCTAATTTTTGTGCAAGGTCTACCGACACCAAGCAACAAAGAAATTAGAGCAAGAATTCTCTTGATCATGAAACGAAATCCAGAGATTACGTTACAAAAAGTAACTGAAGAATGTCAACGATTGATAAAGATAAAAAATGACACTACTCAGATTGAGGAGAAGAACATTTTGTGAGTACAAACTGTATGACAAAAGAAGTGGATACAAAAAAAGAAAAATAACATGCAGTGCCTATGGAGGACAGCATTGCAAGAAGGATTGCTACTTTAAGGATAAAAAATGTTATAATTGTGGGCATGTAGGCCATAAAAGTTCACATTGTCCGACAAAACAGAGAAATGAAAAACCAAAGTCTCAGGCAAAAGCGAACGTAGTTTTGTCTAAACACGAAATTGAGGAGGGTCAAAGAAGAAAATACCTGAATGTAAAAATAAATGGGCAGACTGTAAAATTATTACTCGATTCAGGAAGTGATATCTCTGTGATAAACAAGCTAACATGGAAAAAAATTGGTTACCCACTGTTGACGAAGACAGACAAAATTGCCAGAGGAGTGTCTGGAAAAAGACTCAAATTTCGAGGTGAATTAAAATGTAACATTTCATTTATGGGAAAAATTCACAAATTGAAAGTATATGTGCTCCCTGGTTCAGTAAACCTCTTTGGTACAGACTGGATAGTATTATTCAATTTGTGGGAATTGCCACTAAATTCTTTCTGTAACCAAGTGAACGTCAGAGAAAATTACAAGACAAAACAAACAGAAAAATTTATTACCTTGAAAAATGAATGTTTTTCAGAAGGACTAGGTCTGGGCACAAAAACAGAAGTCAACTTTGAGTTGAAAGAAAATGTGAAACCAATTTTTAAACCCGAAAGAAAAAAGTTCCATTTTTTGGCACTAGACTCAATAAATGAGGAGTTAGAAAGGTTGGAAAAAAATTGGCATAATTTCAAAAGTGGATTACTCGAATTGGGCGTCTCCAACCATTTATATAAAAAAAAAAACTGAAAAAATCAGAGTGTGTGCTGATTTCTCACTAGGCTTGAACGATTGTTTAAAAGATCATGTGTACCCTCTACCATCTCCGGAGGATATATTTACTAAATTGAACGGATGTAGAGTGTTTTCAAACTTGGACTTGTTGGAGGCTTACCTTCAGGTTAAAGTCAGTGAAGAATGTTTAAAGTACCTGACAATAAATACTCATAAAGGGATTTTTAAATTAAATCATCTCACTTTTGGATTGAAGGTAGCTCCAAGCCTATTCCAGCAAATAATGGACACAATGTTGGCTGGTATGGATTATGCAATCGCATACTTAGACGACATTTTGATTAAAAGTGAAAACGATGCCCAACGCAAAATGCATATTAGATCAGTATTTCAGAGAATTGAGGAATACGGGTTCAAACTGAGTGCTGAAAAATGTGAGTTCTTCCTAAAGAAGATAAAATATTTAGGGCAGATAATTGACAGTAAAGAAAGAAAACCGGACCCAGAAAGAGCTGAGGCTATAAAAAATATACCAGCACCTGATAATGTGGCTAAACTCCAGGTGTTCTTGGGATTGGTAAGCTATTATAGTATTTATATCCCAAAAATGTATGAAATGAGAGCTGCTTTCAACAATTTGGTGAAAAAGGGCACAAAGTGGATATGGTCGAAAGAATGCAAGGATGAGTTTAAAAATATAAAAAACTGTTTATTAGCAGACCTATCGTTGGCGCATTTCGACCTGGAGAAGAAAATGATTGTAGCAGCAGATGCTAGTAATGACGGACTAGGTGCTGTATTGCTACATAAACTCGAGGATGGATCTACGAAGCCAGTAGCACATCCCTCGAGAACGTTACTGCCCGCTGAACGAAATTATAGCCAAATTGAAAAAGAGAATTTGGCAATAATCTTCACTGTAAAGAAATTTCACAGATTCATATATGGAAGACAATTTACTCTGCAAACAGACCACAAATTGCTGTTAACAATTTTTGGTTCAAAAAAAGGTATACCAACTCACACGGCAAATTGACTACAGCATTGGGGTATAATTCTATTGAATTACAATTTCAGAATGGAATATGTGCCTTCAAAAAAGCTAGGTCATGCCGATGGGTTGTTGAGGTTAATACCGAAATATACGGAACCACTGGAAAAAAAAACAGTAATGCAATACCAATAGAGAACTACTGTTTACGCTAGAAGATATGAAAAAAGCAGTGGAAAACGATGATTTCATTAAGAAAATGAAAAAGTAAGTCTGGTTGAATGATAAAACAAAAAAAAACGAATGATTGTGTCACCTTTTTCAATATGTGATCAGATATTACTTTACGCAGACGGAGTTGTAATGCCGTGTGCTTTACAGAAAAAATTCTAAAACAATTTGACACTGGTCATCGAGGGATTTCGTGAATGAAATCTCTAATGAGAGTATACATGTATTGGCCGAGGATGGACCAGGACATAGAAAATGTGGTGAAACAGTGTAAAGGATGTCAACTGGTAGCAAGGGATCCACCTGTAAAGAGTCAACCATGGCCAAAGACAGATGTCCCATGGACTAGACTGCATATCGATTATGCAAGACCCATAAATGGATCGTATTACCTGATTGTGGTAGACAGTTTTACTAAGTGGCCAGAAATTATTAAGTGCAGACATCCAACTGCGACAAATACGATAAATGCCCTTAGTGAAATCTTTAGTTGCTTCAGACTCCCTAAAACTTTAGTCAGTGACAACAGCACGCAGTTTACGGGAAGAGAATTCAAGGAATTCTGCACAGCATTGTCCATCGATCACATGACAACACCAGTTTATCATCCAAGATCAAATGGACAGGCAGAAAAATTTGTGGACACATTTAAACAAGCCTTGAAGAAAACTCAAGGCGTGGACACGAATGAACAGAGTATTCAGAAATTTTTTCAGTGTACAGAATCACGCCAAACCTGAATACAATGTCAGGATTATTGCTAGCGGAGTTAATGTTTGCAAGAAGAATACTCTGTTTTCGACTGGCTGTTGCCTAGTCCAGCAAAGAAAACTCCGAAGAAACAAAGCTACATGACTAAAGTATATAAGCCAGGAGATTTAATAATTTTAGGGCTGGAAAAGCTTATTGGGAAGAAGGTATAATAACCAAAAGAATTGGTCAAGTCATATATGACATAGAAGGAGAAAAATTCCCTTGTAAAAGACATTGGAATCAGTTAAGACTCAGACAGACTACAGAGGTCACAGAAAATACCGAAGAGATTCCAATGGAAGTCTTATATGACGCCTTTGATATTTCCATGCCAGTGAGTCAACATTTGCCGATGGAGGTAACCCTGACCTCAAGGTCAGAGGTACCAGTGTGTCAAACGCCACCACTGCAAGGAGGATTGAGGAGAAAAAAGCCTTGGAAAAAAAGTTAATTGTTTATGTCCAGACCCTAAGAAGATGAAATATTAAAGCTAAAATTCACGCGAGAATTTAGCTCAGGGGGAGGTGATATAATGGAATATGGTACACCTGTGTTCCCCCTCACTGGAATATGATTGGGTGATGTCTGTCATAAATACGGATGGACATGTAGGTATGACAGAGTCAGAGCCTTAGTCTGAGAGCTAAGTCTATAACGACGGCCATTGGACTATGCCATTGATCTACACTTCTTACCTGCGACTACGACGCATATCAGTCGATTACTGCTACCGTATTCTACTTGGTTATAGTAACCAAAACCATTTAGCTACTTCGTTCAAATATATCCCTTTCCGGGACATATCAAAAATGCATAAGATACAACTTGTCATGAGTCACCATTATTATCACAAAATTCTGGCCATTGTGCCCTTTGACCTTTTCAGACATCTGTTGATCTAGGTAACCTTCAGGGAATTTTGAACTGATCTCTTTATTATGTGAAAGTAGATTTTACTTTCACAATTATTTCTTTTTTTTCTGAAGCTTATATTTTTAATGATTGTTATCTTTAGATTTTTTTTATTTGAATTTTGTATTTTCATTTTCCTTCTCCATGTGAAAATAGATGATGAAATCATTCAAAATAGAGGATAATTGTAAAAGCAGCAATTTCTCCTCATGATATAGTTTTTCTGAATGGTACTCATTGCTGAGTCATTTTATGAATGGCAACATCTGCATATAAAATTTTAATTTTTGCATTCCATAACACCAAATATATTAGTAAATATGAAATTGCATTGATCATTATTCCATATATTTTTCTGACATTTGACTTTATCATCTCTTTATATTTCTGAGATGAGGTATTATAGCTATTTACATTGTTCATACTGTTGTCCTCATCTTTATTGCCATATTTCGTTTTGGGCCTTCTTCATTTATTTAGTCCACTAGAGTAAATTGTTCTAATTTCAAGTGACATGCCTTTCAATTAATTCTCCAAGTTTTTGTCCCTTCTGCTGTGACTAGATATTGAACTCACAGCTCTTTGAGTCAAGTCGCTTTTGGATCACTCAACCAATGCTTTTATTCACTGGTCCATGTGTCCTTGGCTTTATCTTTTTTATTTTTAATATGCACCAAAGAAAATATAATGGCAAGTGTCTTTTGTAGCTGTACATGCACACACACCTGAAGATCAAAAACAATGAATGGTTGCCAAGATGAAGGCTGAACAATTTATGCCAAACAATAAAATAACCAGTTGTAAGATATTAACAACAAAACCATTTTAGACACATTCCTCAGGTAAAAAGGTACATGCTGAGTTTAAATTTAATCAAGCCTCAGGCCTAGGAATAGATAGCAAACAAAGTAAAATTATAGTAAAATTCTGTTGTATTTGCTAATTTCTGTCTCTTTACATTTTTCAGACGGCTGTGATGGTCTCTAGTCCTCAGGGATCTTCAGACTCTAACTCTTCCTCAGGTTCCAGAACATGTCACAAAACTATCAGTCACTCACAGACCAATGAGTTTAATATGAACATAAACTCAGATTCAAATTGCCATGAACAGACAAGCCCAAGTCCAACCTCATTGCTTAAAATGGTCAGCACTGACTCAGAATCAGTTACGAATGCTTTGGACAACAGCTTGGAGCAGGATGATCTGAGTAGCCAAAGCTTTGCTGCAGCACAACAGATTTTGGCATCTAGCATTGGTGCCATGACCTCTGCAAAAAACATAAATCTGACAAGCATTAATTCTTCCAGTTCAAAGAAAAGGAAACAAGTTGAAGTTATTACTGAGCCATTGTCTTCAAATGGGAATTCTTCTGCCACACAGATTGTAATTGAGAACAATTTGGACTCTAAAAATGTGATCGAAATAGATGATCTTGATTCTTTGGAAGAGAGAGTCACAGAATCTCTGTCTCTTGAGAGTCTTGTTTATGTACCTGTTGATGAATCAAGCACTCTTGACCAAAACCTTCTTCAACAGCAACAACAGCTATCGAAGAACCAGCAGCAACAACATTACCTTTGCTCGTACTGTCCAAATACCCTAATCTATGATGCCTATTTACCATTTCGCCGGCATCTAGCATCAGTGCACGGCATTCAACATGATCCCTCTGACCCCTCAGGACAATCTCTGTCTTCTGATAGCAAACAGAGTTTGGCAACAGGTGCTGTTGGTTCGGAACGATCCTCCCAAAAGTCATCTGAAGATATTGTTTTGGAGTTGGCTGACTTCCAGAACTTGCAGTGTCGCAAATGCAAACATAGTTTTACACAACGTTGTTCTCTACGCAGACATATCTTAGAAATTCACAGTGAAAAACTTGGCTATTATTCTTGTCCATTTTGCACTAACAAAGTCTGGTTCCGTTACTTTCGAACGTTTCTGGCTCACCTCAAGAACCTACATAGGTTCCAAAAGGACCAAATCTATCGAATCCATCGAAACTTACAAAAGAACAGTTGGGTGGAGTTTGGCAGTGAGCAGCTCCCAGCTGATGGAAATGGGTCTCGAAATTTCCATTTTTAATTTTAGTTCCACTTGACATTCTGAAATATTTTTGTGCTTTTTTTTTTTTTTTTTTTTTTTATGGAATCCTATTTTATTTATTCCTCCATCCCCACCACATTTTTTCTTTTTGAGAAAATATCCAAGGGATCAAAAAAAAAAAAAAATTTGGTTCCACCCTCCATGGTAACCCTCCCCACCCTACATTACTACAATCATCAGGTTTTTGCAAGTTACTCGAGTACAAAAATGAAAGAATTTTAATGTTGTTCTATTTTCATATTATTAATCCGTTTTATGATTAACATTAAGTGTTGATTGAGTGGTTAGGAATTGGATTTGAAGCTCAGAGGCATATGGTTCAATGACTGATACTAGGTTACTTTTACACCAAGAAACTCTGATTTCTAAGTTTATTAGCTAAAAACCATGCAAAAGAACACTATTATTATTTTCTTTTTTTTTTTTTTTTTTAGGTTGAGTCTAAATATTTTTTGTTTTCGGAACCAATTGTAATCACGAATATATCATCCTAACTACTAATCATACATGGCAGTTAAAGATAAATTTGGGATACACTAACATACCTTAGTTTTTTCACAACAATGGCAGCATACACAGTGGATTAAAGAATAAATTTATTAACCCCACTAATGGACAGATTTAAAGTGCATTTGCATCACAATGTTATGGGAATTAAGGGAAGGGAATAATACTATGGAGATATCTAGAAAGATATGTTGATCAGCATGTATGAAATTGGCCTGCAAAGTTTTGTCCTTGAAAAACATTGTTGGAAGATGAACCCAGAGTACTTTTATTCATTGTACTTTTATGATGAAGCTCTGAAGTCATTAGTAGAAAACAATCCATGACAAAGTACTTGGGAATTAGCAAAGATGTTAAACACATCAAAGTCTACCATATGTCGACACTCAGAAAAGATAGGGTAAGTCAGTATGCTGGGTGTTTCGGTTCCGCATGCTCTTAACAAAAAGAACAAAGTGGACTAGTGATAAACAAAAATGCAAATTATTTATGACTCAGCCTAATAAAAACTATATTGTTAGCTGGCTAGCTTCTATTATATATTCACAGATGATAAGTCTCTAGAAATAAATTATAATGCAAAATGTTCTTTGAAATATATATAAAACTTCTTGTGTGTGATTAGTTAAGAGTATAATGTATTATGTGGTTTGTTTTATATGATCTTTGTGAGGAAGATTGAACATAGTCATTATAAGAAATGTTAAAAATAGTGTTTCTCTTCTCAATGTTTTTTACTATTTCTTATATCTCTGGGTACTGTGAATCATATGTATAATTGATTGACTATAATGGATATAGATTGAAAGAGAATGAAATTTAAAGTTCACTCCTTTCTTAAATTTAATCCATTTATTGATAGAACTCATAGAAAATGTGTTACTCATCACAAAATATGAAAACAGCTTCATTATAATGCCTAATCTTATAAGAAAGAAATTTTTAAACCTTTTTTTTCTAGGTGTAATGATTAATGCTTTAACTTATATTATTTTTATACACTCGTCCTGGTATCAAAACTCAACTATTATTGAAACCTTCCATTATCCTGAAATTTTGCAGATCAACAAAAGTAAAAGTTTAATTAAAATTTTTCACAATATCCAAAAGATTTAAATATTTAAATTAAAATTAATCCATAAAGAATTAGCAGGATTAATTTTATTTGAGACTATTCTAGGCTGCCTGATTTTAAATTAATAATAATAGCATTAAAAGTTAATATTTGTATAAAATTTTCATTATTATTTTTTCAACACTTTAGTTTTAATACAGTTATACTACATAATAATTCTTATCTTACTCAAGTACAAGTATTTTGAACACAAATCTTCAAAGTGCATGTTCTGCTTTGTCCATAACAAAATGATGTTTTAAAGTTTATATTATTTACATTCACACTAATGTCCTCGGCTTCATTTATCATGACTTTTCAGCCATTGGGCCCTGCAGCCTTCTTGTAATAATTCACACAGAGAATGGGTACAAGATATCCATATATCACAAACCAGCCATCACCAGACAATACCTTAACTTCAATTCCCACCATCCATACATCATCAAATGCCTACAACACCATGCAAAAAGCTATAAGTGGTAATCCAGACATACCAACAGATGATCAGCATCAAAAGTATTCTTTTGAGCAACAATTATCCTATAAACATAATATCATCTTCTGCAGGTAAAAACAGAAGGGTCAAGGAGGATTGGAAAATTGTCATTGTCTCCCTTATGTCAACAGATTGTTGGAAAGGATTCAGATATGTGATTCATACATCAAAACAATATTTAGAAGCAGTGCAACATTCCAGAGAAATCTCTGCCAAGTCAAGCCTAACACAAAAGAGAACATGACCAAGAACTGTATGTATGCTATCCATTGCAGTTGTGGCAAAGAATACAAAGAAGAAACCGGCTGCCCTCTTAAAGTAAGGTTAGAGTAACATCAAAGAAGCTGTAATCAGGAGCGAGGCATTAAAATCGGGCATGGCCAATGATGTATAGTGGGAAAAGAGTAGTTACTAATCACCGTGGAATAATATAAAAATATTAGAGACCACTAGAATGTCAGATATTTGAAGGAATCATAGTGCATATACTCGTTTGTGAGGGCTTCTTCAGTAAGCCTATCAGACATAAATACTATTACAGGAATTACAGTCTTAGACTCATTGGAAACGGTGAGCAATAACTGAGCAGTACTAAATAACAACTAGACATAGCCAGTGGAAAAAGAACAACATATCCTCATAGATTAAATAAAGGATTCAGTTTGAAATTCCCAAAATGTTACTTGGATTGGCAGATATTGGAAGAAAGCTGATAGTAACAACAAAGATAAAGATGTTAGTCAAAATGTAAATAATACAAATAATGATAATTCCTCATCCCAGAAATTCAGGAAAGAAACTAATTTCAAATCATGGTAAATCAACTCTTCCCAACATTGGTCAGTCTAAGTTAAATATTTGTTTCCACAGTTGTTTTTAAATTTATGAACTGAATCTACAGTAGAAAATTGATATAGTGTTTTTTTTTTTTTTTTTTTTTGTGCAATAAGTTGCAGTTTGTCAATATCTTGCCGTAATTTGCACAATATTTTACAGTAAGGTCAAATAAACTACTGATCAATACAGGTTTACACTTTTAACAGCTGTTACAGTATTCTAAAAACACGTTAACCTGTCGTCACGAGAGAAAGAGGAAAAAAAGCCCATTTGGCTGGATTATTTCTGCCAGAAATTATTATTGCTTATTTCAATCTCCTTAAAGATAATAATTGAATGTAGAATTCTAAAACAATAATTTCATACCATTAGAACATTGATTACTTTACAAATGCAAATTTAACTGTTGGGAAAGATTTTTAATCCAGTTTTTTCAAAGTATGTGAAAGATGGAGCTACAGATCACTAAACTATGCTACAGAATCATCAAATAAAATAAAAGCTTAAATGTAAAAATAATGAGATTGGGGTGGGGGGTTCAAATCCTACTTATGGTTAACTTTTTTAGATTTAAAAAATATTAGATTATTATAGAAAAAAAAATGAAAAGCTTCTATTTTAATCAATTTTCAATTTATCTTTCATTGAAAACAAGGGCCTTTTTAAGTACTATTTTAAGGCTTTTCAGTGTCAGGAAAATATAGACCAAAATTCAACTTTGCAATAAAAATATATATATATTTTTTTTTTTTTATAAACGCAATAATAGCACTTTGCTGCTATATCAGAGGTTAGCATAGACATCTGTTCTGGGTCGTAATGAGTATTGATGGTAAGTTGCAAGTTTTATGTCTGTTACAGTATATTTAAATTGAATTTTTATTATCAAGTTGAATTTTGTGCAATGTAATTGTTACTTTTATTATATTGGAAAGCTTAAGGAATGTTATAAAAATTATGTCAAACTGGCCTATTCCTTTTCATAGCAAAATAAATAAAAAAAATTAAAAATGATTTCTTGCTAAGAACAAAGAGCACATCATTATGTCCTACATAAATTTCCTTGTTAATTTGTTTTGTTTGTACTGTTAAGATTTAATATTTTTTCTGGCTCATTACAAATGCAAAGCTTATGATCTTTCCAGGTTTTAAATTGTTGTTCTTACTTCTTCAAAACCTCTTTGTGTGCATGTGTGTGTATGTGTCATTACAGCTGGATTTGTATTTTATGCTGTGTGTGTGGGTGCATACATCTGAGAGAGAGAGAGAGCATATATGCCTGAAAGTGAACAGTCACTCACATTGAGTTGTACTTTGAGAAACTGTATAGAAATGATTGCTGAATAAAATTTAAACTTTCATTTGTATTTTATTCATTATGTAAACTAATGTTTTATGCAGTGATATTTTCAGCGCACTTTTCAAAGCTTAAAATAAAAACTGGCAAGATAACATTTTGCATTTCAAATTTCAGTTGTCATCAAAATCAACCAAAGTAACATTCCATATTTTTGTGAAATATTTTGAATATAAACCTTTAGAAAATTTTAGTGGAAAAAAAAAAAAAAATTCTTCACTGAAGATTCAAGAATTATGATCACAGATTTTTTTTTTTTTTTTTACAGACTAGATAAAAGTACTGTATATACTTGAATATAGTGCAAGATTTTATGATCAGTTTTTTATGCCCCAAAAATAAGGCATTGCATTATACACAGGTAATTTTTTTGAAGGTTAATCAGGGATTTTTGCTGACCAGTTGCACTATACACAAGTAAATTTTTTCTGAAAGGGTTAAAATTCATGCAAAAAAGTTCAGTGGTTGCATTATATATGAAATTGGCTTATACACAAGTATATACAGTATCTGAAGTAGTATAAATTATTTTCAACTTATGAAGTTATTTGCAAACCTACAAGAGGCATGTTTCTTTTTTAGACTGTTTGGACATTGTAGCTGTACAGCTCAAACCATTAGTGTGCAACTGTTTATCTATTACACCATCACATTGGTTGATCTTT